CAAACCCTAGGAACTGCTGGAGCTTCTTCCGGTTAGAGGGAACTGGCCACTCGGTGACCGCCTTAACCTTTTCCGGGTCCTTGCAAATCTGACCCTCCTCAATGATGAAACTAAGAAACTGTACGGAGGTGACATGGAATTCACATTTCTCGGCTTTGATGAAGAGTTGATTCTCCAGTAAGCGCTGAAGGACCTGACGGACATGGTGGCTATGTTCCTGTAGGTTCGAGGAGTAAATCAGAATGTCGTCGATGTAGACAAACACAAACCGGTTGAGAAAATCCCTGAGCACGTCGTTCACCAAAGCCTGGAAAATGGCTGGTGCATTTGTAAGTTTGAATGTTATGGAGTGTTAAAAGCGGTCTTCCACTCGTCCCCCTCTCGTATCCGAACCAAGTGGTAAGCACTGCGGAGGTCTAGCTTGGTGAAAATCGTGGCACCGGGTAGGGACTCAAAAGCAGAGCTGAGTAGGGGTAGCGGGTACTTGTTCAAGGTGGTGATCTGGTTTAACCCTCGGTAGTCAATGCAAGGACGGAGACTCTTGTCCTTCTTGGCCATGAAGAAAAACCCCGCTCCCACTGGGGAGGATGACGGGCGGATAATTCCAGCAGTGAAGGAGTCTGTGATATAGGTCTCCATCGCCTCGCGTTCCAGTCGGTATAGTCAGCTGGAGGGCAGGGTGGCGCCAGGGAATAGTTCTATGGCGCAATTGTAGGGTTGGGGGTGGCAGTGAAAGGGCTCCTTCCTTGTTGAATGCCTCGCTGAGATCTGCATACTCCAAGGGGACCGAGGTGAGATCAGTTCCGGAAGTAGGGGTGCAGAGACAAGAGGTCTGCCGGGGAATGGCAGACTTGAGGCACCTTGAAAGACATCTAGGGCTCCAACCGATGATTCTGTTTCCTGCCCAGTCTATCTGTGGGTTGTGGTCCCGGAGCCAGGGATGGCCCAGAACCAGAGGTGTCTGGGGCGTAGAGAAGATGGAGAAACGGATCTCGTGTTGGTGGTTTCCTGACACGAGCAGGGCGAGTCCGGTGAGTGATATTGGTCAATGGACTTCCATCCAGAGCGTTCGCCTGAAGAGGGCATTCCAACTCCTCCAAGGAGATCCCATGAGCGAAGGCCAAGGAGGACTCCAAAAAGCTCTGTTCTGCTCCGGAGTCAATGAGTGCCAAGACCAGTAGAGGACCAGACGGCAGGCAGAACTTAGCTGGCAGTGTGAGAAAAAAACCTTCAGCGCCCTCTCCTCCCAACCGGACTCTGCAGCCAGGATACGGAAGTCAATAGCATATTCAGCGGCGCTAGCAGAGCCCTGACGGAGGCAAAGGAGGTTCTGAACAGCGTCCTGAGAGTATGTCGGGTGGTCGAAAGCTCTCTTAAACGCCTCCAGGTATTGTCCAAAAGAAACCGTATCCAACGGGGTCTGGGTGAACCAGGCCTGGGCCCAGTCAAGAACACGGCCATGTAGCAACCCGTCAGATAGGCAATCTTAGAACTGTCCGATGCATACGTGCGGGGCTGTTGGTTGAACACAAATGTCGTCTGGAGCAGGAAACCTCTACATCCCCTCATGTGTCCGTGGAAGGGTTCAGGAGATGGAACAAATGACTCACGGACCGGTTGTGCATCTCCCGCCGTCGACTCTAGGGGGGAGGGACGGAGCTGTGTCGAGTCCCTGCACAATGCTGCTGATCTCAGCCACCTGAGACCCGATGGCTTGCTGCGATCCCCGCATATCATGCAGCAGATGGTTTTCCTGTCCCAGAAGAACACCTTGGTTTGTGATCGCCACCTGCAGGGGATCTGCAGGAGGAGATCCTGCTGCGGCTGCTGGGTCCATAATTTGGTCAGTCCGTTCTGTTATGATGTGGTGTGTTCACGGACCCAAATGCAGACACAGGACAGCAGAGTTCTTTCTCAAACCAGGATTCTTTATTTCTCTTAGTCAGGGAAAAAAAAACAGGAAATAGATAAAGTCAATACGGAGGCGCTCCGCACGGATCCTAGCCAGAAAGTGGCTAATCCGCTTGGCAGGCAGGCTGGATCGACTGTGTGATACCCGAGGCTCGACACAGGATCGCCAAGACTTCACAGCTGATCTCCGAGGAACGAACTGGAAGGCTTCTTCATACAGGTGAAAACCTGAGGCTCGACACTTGACGGCAGGTAAGTTGAAAACACACGGGTAGTTAGTAGCGGAACTTTCAGAGTGAAAAAACGACTCACGGGTCGGAATACCAGGTAGGTAAACGGACGGACTGACAACTGGGATGAGAGTAACCGGAATATTTATTTCGGCTGGAGATGATCACAGGAGATGAGGCACAGCTGTGCCTACGGAGAGAGGCACGGCAGTGGGCGGGACTCGGAGGAGGACACTACTGAGAGAAATACACCAGAGTTAGACATAAATCCTCACACTTTGACCACATCATCGTATCAGTATCTGGGTCTCATTTTACATGGTCATAAAAGTTATTATGACCACGAAATCGCCTCATTCTACTTTGAGTTAAAACAAACAATCTGCAACCAGATTCGCTGGTTATACCGGTTTAATGAGTGACTGCGTGAACTGAACCGGAACACGGGGGGGGGGGGGGGGCTGCATGTTTCATCATGTTACGTTTTTTTTCCTAAATCGTGATAATGACAAACGTTAACAGTCGACAAAGTTTCGCATGCAGTGGACGTTAGCCTTAACCCACTAAGTCTGAACTGTAACGGAACATAACGTAACTTAAACTTTAACACCAATACAATCCACTAACGTTAACACTAACGTGATATCAAGCTGACTAGCTTTCCATGAAGACGTGTAGACATCTTAACGCTGATTGGCCAAGACTCGACACGTCACATCAAAGATGTTTTATTGAGAAGATCACGACATCACCTTTTCTCCTTGTCTCACTCCAATCGGAGAAAAGCTGGCTGGCCAGGTGATCCCCCACTAATAAAAAAAATAAGCGACAAGTTTGCAGGTATGTAATTTAAAAAAGAAAAATATTAAAATTTACAATAAGATATAGTAAACAAACAAACAGATAACAGTGTGTTAAAACAAGTATAATATAAAAGTGGCAAGTGTATTTTCATATAGAAAGGATGTGCAAGGTTGTGTAACAGTAGGAAATCATCCTGGGGATGTAAGAGTCAGAGTCAGTGGGGGTCCCGAGCTTTGTTTATGAACCCAACTGCAGATTGGAAGAAACTGTTCTTATGACGCGAGGTCTTGGTCCTGGTTCTGATGGACCGCAGCGTCCTTCCAGAGGGAAGGGACTCGAACAGTTAATGTCCAGGGTGAGGGGTGTCGGCTACAATCTTTCTTGCCTGCTTCAGGATCCTGGAAGCGAACAAGTCTTGGAGGGACGACAGATTGCTGCCAATCACTCTCTCAGCAGAGCGAATGATACACTGCAGTCTGAACTTGTCCTTGGCAGTGGCTGCAGCATACCAGGTGCTGATGGAGGAGCAGAGGATGAACTCAATGATGCAGTGTAAAAGTGCACCATCATTGTCTTTGGCAGGTTAAACTTCTTCAGCTGCCTAAGGAAGTACATCCTCTGCTGAGCCTTCTTGGTGATGCAGCTGATGTTTAGGAGCGATTTAATCTAAGATGGAGGAACATGTGTTATTATAATTATTCAACAGCTCAATTGCAGGAGGGGGGGAGCCAGAGAAACTGGTGAGGAGGTAAAAGTCAGTGTTGAAATTAGGAGCAGAGGATAAGTTAAAAGTTCTAGATCTTGTTTTGGGGACTGGGTTACAGGAAACACAAGGCAAAAAAACTTAAACATACAACATTGGTGGTCTGAGAAACAGGCATCTACACATCCAATGTCAGGAATCTTTAGACCAAGAGTTAAGTCTAGATCAAGACTAGACTTAACTCTAGTCTTGATCTAAACTTGGCTGACAGGAAGCCAGTGTCGTGACTTAAGAATCGGGAGTGATGGAGGTCTAACCTTTTGGTGCCTGCAAGAACTCTACCAGCTGCATTTTGAATAAGCTTTTTGATGGTCGTTTTGGAGAGCCCTATCAAAGGATGTTTGCAGTCATCAAAGCAATAGCAGGAATGAGTTTTTTTAATGAAGTCTGTGAGTTTGATTATATATGTATGGTAATAAAAAGCTAATATTGTCGCTGCTTTTATGTGGCTATTTAGACTGAGATCAGAGTCAACTATTACGCCAAGGGGGCACCACAAGTCCAAGAGGTCTAATTTAATATTTGGAAGGTTTAATTTAGCTTAAAGGTTCCCTATCCTACATTCAGAGGTAATATATCATGAAACAACTATTATCCATGTAAAGATATAGATAAGTAATGTCTACCTGAGCAGATAATGAGGTCTCTCTCCCTCTTTATGTGTTGTTATCAGAGCTTCTCCTTGCTTTGTTCACGTAGCTGGCCGTCCACATTCCTTTCAGTGCATGTACCACAGATGAAAAATACTGAACAAGACAGGTCAACTTAAAAAGGCAGCACATAAAAAAATAAACACTGCTCTTAAGAAGCATGTGAGCTCACGGTCGCTGCTCTGCACTGTTCTCACTACAGCCCGTGACGCCGTCCCAACCGACATCGTCGATTCTGAAGCGTAGCACCCACCCTCCAGTTCAAACACTTTTCTTTAGAAAGACTGTTAGCTCTGTCAGCTCTGTTTCCATTGTTTGCACTGTTAGTGCTCCCTTTAGCTTAGCCGTTGCCATGTTGTGACAATAGATATGCTCTGAATTTCATGTTGAGCACTTTTGTATATAAAAGTCTAACTCCCACATTTTGTAATGACCACTGCAATATGTAATAATTTATTGCAAAATTTGGGTATATATATGACATGTTGCTCTCAAGCTGTTTATTACAAAATGCAGCAGATTATTACAAAGTGGGAATTATTACATAATGAAATGAAAATGTGTAACATTTTGTCAAGTTATTGTTTGTGCGCCTTTGAAGTTTTCTTGCCTAAATGATCCCTACGACACATCGTTATTTAGGGCAAAATAGGTTGGAGGAACAGCAGCACTCGGCTGATAGTGCTGACCACTGATGCTGGATTCCACATGGCCGGAGATGGAAAATTAGCTGGCATACTGGAACCTAATGATGAACAGTGTCACATGGAAAACAATCTTTACACCAACAGCAATGAGATGGTATGTATGGAATAACATAAAGGAATCAAAGTGTTGCATTGCCATGTTATCGTTTTAACAAGAAATGTGCAGATCCCAGCCAGCCCTGTGTCTGCAACGACCACTGTAATATTTGATTGAATGAATATAAATCAAAATAACTGTCTCTGGCCGCTGAGCAGAGGCAATGCAGTCAGCTGTGTGTGTAGTTCCATTGCCTGTTATCCAAACACACAATCCAAAACAATAAAAGTGAGCAAACTGTTTTCCCCATAGACAAACTGTCTATGATTTTGCCTCACTCTGTCTGTGGGCTCAGAGCAGCGGCTGGGGGGCAGCGATGGCCTCTTAAGAGTAGTGAGTGAGGGTTCAGCAGGCAGTCAGTGGCACTATAAAACGGGCAATAAAAGGTGATTTGAGAAAGTGCGAGTCACCGCAATCACAAGAGGTCCTTGAGCGTGCAATAGAAGTTGGGATTAGGCGTGGACAGACACAGAGGTGCACATTCACTCACGGATATACGCGTGCACGGACACACACACAAACATGCTATTGATTGCATGATTCTCCTGGCGGAGATATTAAATTGCAACTATCCATTATCATTTATTATTGCCACACTGATTCCAAAAGACTATTTTATTTTGAAGTTAGCATGTAAGAAGTTTACCATGGACATTAGGTGTACAACTTTTCACTATTTCTCTGATGTTGTGTTTAGGACTACCCATCTGTTGGACAACTAGCTATGCAGTTGGAGAAAAACAATATTCAGCCAATATTTGCAGTGACAAAAAATGTTGAAATTGTCTACAAGGTAAATGAAGCTTTTATTTCTGTACATGGTTTTATTTATTCATAGAGCACACATTATATTCCTACTCTGATGGATTTTTAATTTGGCCTTCTGTTTTATCCCAGCAACTTTCTAAAATGATTCCAAAATCAGAGGTGGGAGTTCTGTCATCAGATTCTAAAAATGTTGTTGAATTGATTGAGAGCGCCTACAATGTAAGTTGTTAATTTGCCACTGACACATTTTGCTACATGTTTCCCTTTGTGTATGTGTAACTGTCCCTTGCGACCAATACATTTTTTTTTCTTAATCTTATATTGTTGTATTGCTGTTATTGTATTTTTGTCTGTATCTCATAACACTCTCAAATGTGTAATCCCTGACAGAGGTTGTCCTCCAAAGTAACTCTGACCCATGATAATCTGCCTGATAATGTACGAGTTGAATACACCCCTAAGTGCGATCATGCAGGACCACCAGGTGACAGTGAAGGGGTTTGTGACAATGTACGAGTGGGACAGGAGGTCAGTTCTTTTTGTAGTTTTACATGTACTTTTCATAGTTTGTTCATATATCAAGTGCATGTAGTTATTGTTCCATTGGTTCAAGACCTTTGAATCTGCCTACTGCACCGAGTTCCGGTCAACTTGTTCGTTTGGCATAACACTGTCCCTCTTCTCTACTCGTCTCCAGCCTTCCTCCTTTGTGTCCATAACCATAATAATAATTTACAACTGCCACCTTTTTACAATACATGGTTAATTTTGTAATAGTAATGGCACTGGCACACCATACTCCCCCACTGTTATGGCCATAACTTCTGGACACAGGGAGAAATCGCCCCCCCCCCCCTTGCAGCTATGTGCTCTCAATCGGCTCCAAAACACAACAGCAGGTTAAAGTAAAAATCAAATGGATTTATTATCCAAGAAGCATAAAAACAGATACAGACAGTCACAAACTGAATCACACTACTAATAACAAAACAAACTTGTATATAAAATGAATGTGAGATCCAATTCGAGCCACCCAGGAGGCTGGTCTGCCTCCTCGGTGGCCAGCAGAAGATCTGAAATCTCCCAGAGCTTCAAACCATTTGTCTCCCCAAAGTTGCATTCCTCAGCTCATCGATCAGCTCATTGATTGGCTGAAGTCCAACAAGCCCCACCTGGTTCTATGCCCCATTGTCTTGATGTTAACACCTCAGCCAGCCACTTTCACACAACCCCCGCTCCAGCACATTCCTCAAACCCCCTCTCACAGACAATTAATACATGAAATGACCAGACTCCTACAAGCAAATATACTGTATCACATTATATCCTTAATTAGGAGTGCTTTAAAACTTAAATTCCTCACACCACTCAGTGTCCTTGCAATTGCACACTGGCACTTTGTTAAACTGTTCCACAAACAGGAAGGAATATGTATTGCTTCTCCCAAATCTGATGTTCGACAATTGGTAGAGGTCTCTGAGGAAGTCCAAAAAATTAGAGGCATCAGGGGTGGAGACTTTAAGTCTCTTGACATTGTTGGTCTGTCATGGCATATACGCGTCTTCAATGTCACATGGAGGTCGATGACAATTCCTGTGCAGGCCAGGGTGGTGGTTCTCATTTTCTTTTAAAGGGACCACAGGGTGTGCTGCAACTATCAGTCTATCCCATTAATTGTTCAGGCTGACAGGGAAAGATAATGCCAAGATGGTGGAAAAATGGTGCATTGGAGTTGTCCAATTCACCGTATAATTAATACACTAGGGCAGAGGTACTGCAAGGGGGTCGTGAAATCTTTGGTTGATTAGACATTTATTTTATTTTTTCACAAATTTAAATGTCTTTAAATACACATTAACATGAATACAACATATTGTAGCGAATGGATAAATGGAGGCAGAAGATGTTATCTTTCAGTCAGAAATGCACACATTCAGCGACCCACAGGAGCTCTCTCAAGCTGGGCACCGACCGGTTCACTCACAGCGTGAGACTAGCCTGGACCTGTCCCTCCAGGCCTCCTGCACACAAAGAGGAGGACCCGCCCCTATCGCTGCTGTGCCAATCACGAGGCCGCATGTTACATGCGGCTCTGTCAGGTTCCCCGTGATTGACCGAGAGCCTATTCAGTCCCCAGCTGACTAAGATTCCAGGCACAAGGACTCACTCTGCAATATTATTTGAAAAGAAGATACCGTTGTAAAAAAAAAACACGAATCCTTGTGCAATCATTTTTGCAAGATATTCCTGGCTAAAACACTGCAGCTCCTATCCACAACTGCCAACTACTGAGGCCAATATATTAGTATGAGTCTACGGACATTGTTACGAGCAAAAATGGATCGTTTTGTAACTCCACCAAAAAACAGGAATATGTCCATTATTGTAATAGTTCAGTACTGTATGAATGATAACAGGTATGTTTATGCATGGCAGTGGCACTAATAGGCCATCACTCATTTTTCATTTCCACATTTATGTTTAAAATAAAAAGGTTAATTTGAACAGCTTATATGCATGATTATCATACAATTGACAGACAATGTTGATATTGGCATTGGTATCAGTTGACAAGGTGTGTTTATAAATGGCAGTGGCACGGCCTCCCTACTCACTGTACCTTGCACATGTTTAAAATAAAAACATGAATATATGAACCTGTGTATTATTTGAATAGCTTAGTCCTGAATGCACAATAAAGAGGTATGTTTATACATGGCACTAGGCCCAGTTTAATATAAAACACAATTTTATACAATATATAAAGTATCCTGCTCCATCTCTGTTTGGGGGTCCTTGGCCTGAAAAGCGTTGAAGACCCCTGCACTAGGGGATCAAGAATGTAATTATTTCATTTTGAGTCTGTTTTTTATATTTTTTAAATGTTGTATTAAATGTATTACACTTCTGACTCCTTAACATTTACTGCCCTTTCCAGATCTCTTTTGATGTCACAGTGACAGCATCCTCATGCATGGAGGACCAGACTTTTACCATTAGACCACTGGGCATTAAAGACACATTGACAGTGACCGTATCTACAAAATGTGAGTGTCAATGTGTAGACCCACAGGACATTATTCATCCACACTGCAATGGCAAGGGACGAGTCAGCTGTGGTATATGCAGGTAAGCTTTACACCCCTTACACAATGACTGTGTCAGTGATGTGATGTTGTAGCTTTGTGCAAACCATCCTCTGATGCACAGGTGGGACAGTCCAGAGACAACATTCACACTTGTTTTGATTCTCAGCTCTTGGTCACAGCTGTTTTCTACTCCAACTCAACTATGTAAGTCCTTCAACAAATGGGGGAAATGCCAATGGAAGTGATAAATGGTTACTCAGGCTGTTTGAGGGGCAGGGGTAAAAATATATATAAAGGGCACCAGTGTACAGAAAGTCGTCATCTTCCACGACATTGTTTCACACATAGAGGCCAACTTATTTTCTAACATGAATACATACCGTCTGCTCTAGATTTAAGGGCACCCATCAGTGCACTGCATGACTTTTTTCCTACTGGTAGGGCACCTTAAAAGGGTTCTGCATCACTTTTTATTGCACATTGGGTAAATTCAGAGGGCACCTTTGGGCATATTTTCGAACATGGCCACCACTGCCCTATTCAATGTGATGTAACTGTAATGTGCAACAGGAACTTACATTCAAAAAATGAACCATTGAAACTGAGCTCCTGGGACATTTTAACTATTTGACCATTAGAATTGTGGCATTGGTAGAAATAACTATCCAATCAGAGAATATGGAAATCATGTGTTTAATGGTAAACACGCCCACAATCTATAATCCTGCGAGAGGCAAGAGACAGCCTGCTATATACAATATGTGTGAAGGCCGTTAGATAGATAAAGTTTCCGGGTGAATGATTGACTTTGACAAAGAGACTGCAAACCACAACCCGTGTCCTGCCAACAGTCAATGTTGGTTTCTGTTAACTATGCCCATGATCTTTTCATAATGTTAACCAAGTAGTCTTGTCCTCAATACATAAAAAAATTTTCAGTATGACGTATAAAGTAGTGGGATATAAATGAAAAATTTAAATCAATACAAGAAATAATAAAATGAACAAACTATGCCACCCAGTTAAATGTGGTGTATAGAAGTTCCAGCTAGCAAACTGGATCAGACAGACTTAGTTAAAAATGAGTTAAAAGAATTAGAATAATGAATTAAAAGAATAATTATTACAAAAAGGCTGTTAAAAACCCAAGTTTAATACAATTATTTAAAAAAATAAAAAAGTAAACAAATACACCAACACCTCTAAAGCTTGTTTTATCCCTACACAAATACAAATATCAAAACAATAACTTGTGATTCACTAAATAAATGGAATGGAAAAATCTATTAAGGTGACGGATAAGAACATTTTTTTTGCTCATAAAACTGATGAATGAAATGTCTATAATAAAATGCATCATAGAGGGAGAACTGCTGGTGGAAAACACGCTCTCTCTTTAATTTGTTTTGTTACGATATACATTTTTTTATGCCAATTTTAGGTTTTATCGCTCTTTCTAACATGTCCTTATGCAGCTGCAGTGAAGGCTCCATTGGTCAGTTCTGCGAGTGCTCCATTGGCAATAAAGACGAGCCTACCCTGAGAGAATCCTGTCAGAGGCAGAATGGCACCGAGTGTGAGGGTCAAGGAGACTGTGTCTGTGGCAGGTGCGAGTGCCACACCACAGAAAGAGGAAGCAGTTACCATGGTGAATTCTGCCAATGCGACGATGAACACTGTGAGAGGTTCATGAATAAACTATGTGGAGGTAAAGTTTCAGTCAATTTAAAATGATCTGCATTTTAATGTTACAGACAAAAAACTAACTTTTTCCATTGTAGTTTAACAAGTGCAGATACAAAACACATTCTGTATCCTTAAGACCTAACATACTGGTTGAATGCAGTTGATTGCTAATTAGCAAGGGGGGTAGGGAGGGAGGGTTGGATTGTTAAAGATAGATGATAAGGGAAGAGAGAAGATGGGTCACATGCAAAAAAAATGAGAAAGGGAAATACATGGTCCGTGTCTTCATCCAAGGGCCACGAGGATGCCCATAATATTTCTTATAACATAAACACATACCATACACAAACTGTTCTTAAAGGAACCAAGATATGCTGTGACATTTTACAGTGTAAAGACAAACAGTGTAAAGCTGCTAATTATTTACATTATTAATCATTATAGTATTTATTTAGCAGACATGTAGCTGCTCAATGTTCCCTCATTCCATTGTGCTTCTCCTGAGGGATTTGCTGCTTCTGATAGAAAATGAGTGAAGTCAGTGAGAGATAGGCAGGCAAAGTTTTAATAAATGAACTGCCGCTTGGAAGAGGTGGAAAAAGGAATCTGTCACAGTTGTATATTCATTTGAAGCCCGTTATTTTTACATGTATGGACAGTAAACAGTGGAAGCAGTAGTAAACTGCATTTGGCTTTACAGCAGACTGATCTGCCCATAGCTTCCAGGGAACCTTGCTGTGTAAGCTGGATTTATGCTTGATGCAAGAGGCTTGTAGACACTATGGCATAGGTTTGGGTTTGTAGTTCAATGTTGGATTTCACTAGACTGCTGTATCATTTGTGACAAGTCTGTATTGGGCTTTAGTTATGTTGTGATGTTTATTTGACAATGCTTGATGATGATGATCTCTCTCTCTCTCTCTCTCTCTCTCTCTATCTCTCTCTCTCTGTATGATCCAGGACCAGGTTGTATGTGCTATACACTGTCCTGCTGTAATCATTTCTCTTTTGGTATATTTTTGAGGGTCAACACATTAGCTAGATAGATATTGACTTATGTTGTAATTCAATTATGTTGTTCATTCTGTACACATGACATATATTGCTCTTCTGTCCTTCCTGGAGAGGAATCCTCCTCTGTTGCTCTCTCTAAGGTTTCTTCCTTTTTACCCCCCTAAAGGTTTTTTTGTGGTGTTTTTCCTGTTCCGATGCGAGGGTCCTGGGACAGAGGATGTTGTATGCTGTACAGCAGTGATTCTCAACTGGTGGGTCGCGACCCAAAAGTGGGTCGCGGACCCGTTTTCAGTGGGTCGCGGGCCTTTGCCTGACAAAAAAAAAAAAAAGTGATTTTATTTTGAAGGGCATTTTTTAAGCAGCGGAATTATTCCAGCATTTACGGCACTTGTTCAGCGGTGCAGGAAAAACACCGACCAATGCGTTGTGAATCACATCACGTGATGCAGCTCAGCCAATCAAATATGGGCATTCTGACAGGTTTCCTGACTTGAGTGAGACAAGGATATAGGGTACTTCTCAAGTCTCTTAATTGTCGCTCTTCGATCCTTGCTTGAACCGGAAGTTGTTTCGGCGCCGCCATATTGACGGCCGTCCCAAAGCTCTAATGTAGCTCTGAGGAGCGAGGATCGAGGATGGAGGAGGGACCTCGGAGGAGCCATGACCCATGAGAACAGACTTCCAGGAAGTCTTTTAACGGCCGACACGCCCCCTCATTGTTCATCAGTCATGTGATTGGACGCTGACTGACTGGAGTTTCATACCAGAGTGAAGACAGATCACAGATTACAGTCACAGTCACAATTTCAAAACGTACAGACGCAAATAATTCATAAATAAGACGATCGCATTCCACCGGTAAAAATGGATCCTGTGCTTATAAACAGAACACAGGACACAGTTTGTTAACAGACTACAGAGAGAAACACCTCTACAGTGGTGATTACTGTGTCTTTATTAGTTATTAGTATTATTAGTTACTGTTATTAAGTACAGTGATCATGTGAACAGGCACAAACTTATCTAAAGTCTCTCCAGCTGTTAAAGCCGACTGACAGCTGATCAGCTGTGATCATCAGCACCGTCATCAGAAACAGACGTCGCTTCACGTGACGCAACTGAGGAAAGGACGTCTCATGTCTCCTAAAACATATTTCCTCGTTCCTCTCTCCTCGCATGGTTTCCTCCTTGCATCCCTGGTGGGAGGGACTAGGACGCAAGGAAAGGACCCAAGTGAGGGAACCGGGGATGCAGTTAAGAGACTTGGGATGTACCCTGAGACAGCAGAGCAGGACTGTTGTAGTGTGAGTTGTGAAAGTCAAATCATAGGGCGAATTCCAAAAGAGAAAAATGTCCAGAGAGACCAGAGTCATTAGACTCTGACTGGACAGACTCATAGAGGTGAATTCTTCCAACACTAATAAATCTTTTTAGAAGATGAGAAAAATATAATATTGTGGCTTCTTCACTCCACCCTGAATGAACTGAGTTTAAAGCTGCAGGGCTTCAGTGAAAATTATTTTTCTAAAATTAATTTCGTTACGTAATTTATTTTTTAATCCAGTCGTTATTTATTATTATACATATATGTATAAAAAATTATATATATATATAATTTGAGTCGTGGGTCGCGGCTTGTCATTAAGGGGTGATGGTGGGTCCCGCAGCCAGACCAATTGAGAACCAGTGCTGTACAGAATGTAAAGCCCTCAGAGGCCAATTTGTGCTATTGAGTTATACATATAAAATTGAATTGAACAGATAAACAACTCATTAGTTCCTCTTCCAAGCTTTCTGCTTTTGTTGTGTTTTTTTCCGATACTTGGCATTAATTCCTGAGGTTGTTTACAACCATCGCCCAGAGGGAATGCAGGATTTGTGGTACACACAAATGTGTGGTTTAAAGCAAGTATAGCACTCTTACTCTCCTCTCTGTTCCTCACAACTTGTAGGGACCGGTAAGTGTACCTGTGGCAAATGTGAATGCTATGCAGGCTATGAGGGCTCAGCCTGTCAGTGTCAGGTGTCTGAGGATGGCTGTCATACCCCGAACAACACCATTTGCTATGGCAGAGGGACCTGCAAGTGTAACCGCTGTGAGTGTAAGGAGGGATACCAGCAGCCACGATGCCAGACATGCCTCGGCTGCACTGACCCTTGCCAGACCAATCTGTAAGGAGTCCAAACTACTACTTAACTTTTACTGTCTCATTATTATTGAAGGGTTGACTCACCAAATTACAAAAAGGACTCATAAATCAACAAAGTAGCTCCACTACTGACCTGCTATTAACCTTTGTTTTCAGGAATTGCATTGAATGCCTCGGCTTTGACTCAGGTCCCTTTAAAAAAAACTGCAGTGTGGCTTGCCAGAGCATTGATCATGTTATGGTAGATCAGTCCACCATACAAAGCAAGAAGTGCCAGCAAAAGGACTCAGACGGCTGCTGGATCAAATTTAATCTGGACCAGTTGTTCGGAGTGGATAACTACAAGGCTGAAATTCTGAAACAGAGAGGTAAGCTGCTGATGAAATACAGAAAACTCTTCAGAGCTGTCAAACTCTTACATTTATGAACAATGTATTTGTTTCAATGCAGTTTTCAGTGGTTCTGGTATTTGGAAACATTAAACAGGACCAAGACTTGTTAGAGCTGTAGGCTACTTAAGCAGGTATGATGTTGATCATGTTCACACATGCTAACATTTGCCAATTACAGGCGGCAGCCTGTGCTTCTGAAGAATAAAGCCAATGCTGAAGTGTCTTACACCTGCATTGCATTCTCTCTGGTGTCCACCAGGGGGCGACTCCTCTGGTTGTATAGAAGTCTATGAGAAAATGACTCTACTTCTCTCTTGATTTATTACCTCAGTACACATTGTAAACATGAGTTTATGGTCTCAATCTCTAGTTTCAAGTCTTCTTCAATACAGCATGATGTTCATTAAGTGAATTATGGTCCATTTAGAGTCAAACAGACCATAAAGCAGGGTGTGCTTTAGGGCGGGGCTACATTGTGATTGACAGGTTGCTAGCAGAGCCATATACAGTGTCTCTTTGTCACTCCTCCACAGTCCAAATTTGGTCACGAACTTTCAATGGTTGCAAAAATGCAAGATAGTAACGGCCAAAAAGTCGAACTCGAGGCTTGAAAACGGCAGTCCACAAACCAATGGGAGACGTCACAGTGTCGACGTCCACTTTTTATATTCAGTGTATGACTAATTAGCACTAAACACAAAGTACAGCTGAGGCTATTGGGAAGTATTGGGCACAGTAGAATGTTGACCTGATGATGGCGCTAGATGACAGTTCAGAGAATCGAAAATCAATGTTTGAACCAAATTGCACGGCAACTCGTTGCTGAGGACAGGTAGTCCAATGGACCAACAGGCAGACCAAAATTGCCATTGCGAGAGCCGCACCACTAGCCTACATACACATCAAACATACAACTTTGTCCTTTTCATTCTTTTTTTATAGTCAAGCAGTTTGGAAAGGAGTAAAACTTTCTGTTTTCATCCCTCTTCCTCCAGACTGTCCAGAACCACCCAGCATCATTGCTATCATTGGAGGCTCTATTGCATCTGTGGCTCTCATTGGCATCTTGTTGCTGATGCTGATCAAGCTACTTCTCTACATGAAGGACCTGAAAGAGTTCAGGAAATTTGAAAATGAAAAGAAGAAATCCAAGTGGGCGGAGGTGAGATTTATTTTAATGTCATTTTTTACAATCACTGCCTAGAAAAATAAAATCTAGAAATAATCACAAGAGCTTTCATGGTGTTGATATTTTGCCACTTGTAGCGTGAATGGATCCCGTCCCGGGGAAAGCAGGACAGGCTTGCGCACCTAACACGGTGGTTACTCCTGAGGGTTGTCCTTCCCGCGTGAGTTAGTTTCCTCACGGAGGTATCAGAACAATACTGTAGGCCTTTTATCTCACCCCGTAGCTGAATCGTTAGGATTTCGGAATTAATTGTCTTCCTGAGAGCCTTGTACGGCTACGCCCTAGGCGCTCTCAGTAGGATGTAACCCTAACACCCAGTATGAATAGTTATGTAGAACGTCTTTACTTTACTATTGCCTATTGTGAACTTCTCACCATTTTATGACTAACACTGCCGAGTCTTCACCCAGGGTACTCACCTTTAAGTTCCTCTGGTAGAGTCAGTCGTCACTTCTGTATCACACGGATGAGGGACAGGGGAAAAGGGTCAAACTGTTCTAAAAAACCAAGGTCTCTAGTTTGGGTCCAGTCACTTACAAATGGCAAGGCTGTCGTTTTATTGAAGCTTTTCCAAAGCAATCGCATAGAACAATTTAAATTCAATGAAACAATCTCAGTGGTATTAAAACTAATGCTGACATCCTGCTTGTTTTCAGGGTCTCTCGCTGTGTGTTTTTTCTTTTTTCTTCTTTTTCATGCTGTCTTCTCGCCCATCTCTGAATGGGACAGCAGAAGGGTGTTCTACTCCCCGCTCAGGGGGCAAGACCCCTAAGGGTCTATTAAAGAAGTCTCTCCCTTTTAAACCGGGGTTTCTCATTGTTATTAAAGAAATATATCCCGTCTCTAGAGATGGGGGAATAAGCTGAATCTCACTTTTTCTGTTTCTTTTATAGTACTCTGATTCTAGTAACTGTTTATGTTAAATCACACTTATCATGAGATAAAACAGTTTATATTTTACGATGGTTATAAAAAGTGTAAACAAGCTATATGTTGTGATGGTTATAAAAAGTAAAGAACTTATATGTTGTGATGGTTATAAAAAGTAAAGAACTTATATGTTGTGACAGTTATAAAAGGTGAACAAACTATATATTTGTGATGGTTATACCTTTATGCTTTCATATCTTTCTACGATCTCACAACACACTTTCTCAAGTTTTGTGCTGTCAGATTTGATTGGCAAGCTACATGATTCATTTTCAAGAAAAACATTCAGTTCCTTTGCATGTAAATTTGTGTTGAAATGTTACATATTACCAGAGGTTAAATTGGGATTTGTTATGTGGTGGGGGGATCCTGCCCTGAGATTTATGCTCTCTGGTACCTCATATAAAAAAGATTCAAACTACATATCTTTCAGTCCTTCATATAAATTCAGATGTTTTACTATAGAGTATATTACTAGCAGCATGAAAAGTAATTGAATTAGGCTCCACCTTTAAAGTGATGAACACATTAATCATCTGTTGGAGCCATAATGAGCTAAGGTCATGGTTAAAGCTAAAGAAAGAGGTAACTGAGACAATCACAATTCCTACGTTGATGATTGCCAGAAGTCAGTGGTCACAGTAGTACAAGCTATTATGCCGTTCAGGGACTTCAGAGATGAATGCGCCCAGGGAGGCTTCTTATTAACCTAATGGGTCAGTAACAGCAAATATCCCTGTACATCACACAGCCAAGCTACTCAAAGATCTGGACTTGGACAGGAAAAAAATGCCCATTGGGATGAGATTCTTTTACCTTTAATGTCACAATCAAGAACAGAGCCCTTACCAGAAGAGGTATCCTCTCTATCTAAGATCCATTAGGATTCCTTTCCCCATTCATTCTAAAACCAAAGCAAATCCTCCAAGAACTCTGTAGAGTGAAGTGTTGAAGGGATGAAATCATTGCAGAAGAAATTTCAAAGCAATGGCGGCAATGGATCACAGAGTTGGAACAGCTAAGCAGTTTTAAAGTGGACAGTTGAATGAAACCTGAAAATGTTGGCCCAATCAGAAATGCAGAGCTAAATCACTTCTGTGACGTAAGTGAGCACGGTTATGGCACTGTTAGCTCTCTCTGATTCACAAATAGTATGAGTATGAGAAACGTCCATGTTGGATTTGTTTTGGGAAAATCCAGAGTGACTCCACACAAACAGATTGCAATCCCCAAAATACTTTTGCAATCCCCAAATACAGATTGCAATCAGATTGCAAAACAGATTGCAATCCCCAAATACTTTTTGGACGGATAGCACTGTACTGGGATATATCCACAATCAGACAAAAAGTTTCCAGACTTTCGTGACCAAGAGAGTTCCAGTGATCCATAGCCTATCTTAAGAGAAGCAATGGGGGCAAGTGAGCTCCAAGGACAACCAAGCTGATGACACATCACGTGGGACTTCACACTTGAAACCCCCCTGAAGTCATCAAGATGGCTGAAGAGTCCATTAGGAAAGGGAGGAAACTGATTGACTGATTGGCCAGAGATCCCTATGAAACTGGGCCGAATTTCACAAGTTGATCCAAAGGTAAATAAAGATGTTTCTGCTTACAGTGTGAGCATCAGGAAGGGAAATTCTAAAAGCAAATTGGTTGAGTATTACTCCTTTCATTCATTCATCTATTGGTTGCTTTAAGACAGGGACAGTGTACAATAATAACAATGTGTTGCACCAGATAGAGCACAATTCTAATTTTTATCTGTTGTCCCTGGGTATGTATAAAATGCACATAAAACAATATAAAAATTATAAATAAACATTTATAGATACACATATAAGACATATAGCAGACCTTAATGACAAATAACAACATGAAAATGATAAATCCACTTTAATAAATACAGATATAGGAGATATATCAGACCGTAATGACAATATAACAAATAAAAAACAAGGTGGAGATCATGGAGAACAAAACGCTGTTCAATGGTTGAACCAGATTGACAGCTGAAAGAGACAAAGATCCTCTGAGCAACAGTTGAATAAGAAGAGAAGAAACCAGCAGTCATTGGTCAAAGAAACTTGAAGCTTAGATTTAAATAGGAACAGTTTCCCGTTTCATAATAAAAGCAGCCTTGAACAAGCCGGAATTGACTTTAGCAAAGCTCTTCTTCAGACTTCACAATAGAAATAGGCTAGTCTGTAAGGGTGTAACGGTTCAAAAAATTCTCGGTTCGGTTCAATACGATACAGTGGTGCCACGGTTCGGTACGTTTTCAATACAGCAAAAAAGCAGAAATGCCAAATCCTCACTGGGGAGACTCTCAAGGTCTGAAGAACATGGCTCTTCATCTCCATTCAGTTAGTCAGGTAGCTTTGTGTAGTCCGTGACATCCGGCCATCTGTTATCAGAGGAACAGCGGGTGCTTCGGACATTTGATTCTCTGTTTGGGCTTTTGTTTTCTTTTACAAAGCAGGAATTATGGTTTGTAGCTGGTTTGTATGGTTTCTATGTAGCTACCTAGGCTGCGGGGAGAGTTTGTAGCGTGTGTGCTGCTGTTGGTTTTCCTGGTAAACTAGTTTAGCGTAGCGTGTAGAATGTTGTTCTTCCGTGGTGGGAGTGTCAGACTACACGTTGTCTGTTACATGGTGGGAGTGTCAGACAGCAGGTTGTCTATTACATCGGGTGGGTTGCCATGTTGAGTACAGTGGCTCCAACGATATATATTTCTCACAATTTAAGCTTCTGCATATTCCAAATGCAATAGTATTATTCAAACGTATTGTTCGGTTCTTAGTGCGTACCAAACCGTGAGCCTCGTACCGAACGGTTCAATACGAATAGGTGTATTGTTACCCCTATTAGTCTGGTGTTACAACTGTTGGAATATCAGCTGAACTAATCAAAGTTTAAACCTCTTCAATCAATATTTACAGTTTAACAATGAAAATAATTCAACATCAAGTTCAATAGGATTATCCCTGTCATGTGACACTGTGGGGAAGATTGAATCATTTCATTCTTCTTTTCGGGATAAAACTATTTTGAATATAAATAAAACTTTTGGTGTCTGAATGACACTTATCTCTGTTAAATAGTTATTTAAGGAAAGAAGATTTACCAGCTGATTCTGGTTCTTTTGAAGGGCAATGTAACTTGCTGCAAACTAAAACTAGGCTTTTATTTGAAACTGCCTTTATGAGAGACCAGCCTTTGCTTGTGCCCGACACCAGCCGCTTGTATTTGAGACTCTGCCATCACTTGAATACCGGCTGTGTATTTATGAGTGAGTGAATTTATACTACTTCTACATTGGGGAGATTAACACATCTGTCCAGCATCAATGATAATGTGTTTTTGTGATGTTTTGCTTGTTCCATCTCACCGGAAGACAATATCAAAATAACATCATAGATGAAAATAAACTAATCCTTGTGATTTCTGTGTTGCCAGGCTGACAACCCACTGTTCCAGAATGCCACCACCACTGTGACCAACCCAACCTTCACTGGAGAATGAGGATTAGTGCTGAACTGCTACTATTTACTCAACATGTTTGCAATTGCATTGTTATTGTTTAATTACTATTGAAAAAATATGCATATTTTTGCTCATTGCTTATTATATTTACATGTAAAATATAGTCATGTATGTTGCTCATAATATATACAATAGAGTCGGACAGAGAATGGGCAAAATGTAATGATGTGTGATGTCTAATTTATACTTCTGCAAAAAAGCTTGCTCACAGCTGGTCTAGGTGACCACGAGGCACCCGGAGTAGAAATCAGGCATTATATACATATACTGGATCCATCATTTTGAGGGCAGTAGCTCAGTCCAAGGGGACTTGGTTTGGGAACTTGGTTTAGACTGGTAGAGAGGTGCCAGTTTGCCTCCTGGGCACTGCTGTGGTATTCTTGAGCAAGGAACCAGCCGCTGCTCCTAATGTTAGGATAGGTTACATTTCACTGCGTGCTGTGCTGTTCACAATACAATGTGTGACAATAAAGGTTGATTTAAATTTATAGTTGAAAGACATTTTCTGAAATGTATGTCTGTGAAATCCAACTTCAGTTGGAAAAATGGAAAATGAATGACCAAAGATCAGAAAATTAAACATAGTCACAGTTTGTTATTTTAAATGTTCTATAGACTAAGTAAGATTTAAATCTGCAGTAAATCCAATATTCCCTCTCCTTTTAGCTTTAGTTTGGTCTTTAAGAAAATGTTCTAGTGTTTTGGATGTGAATGGCAACACAATTAGTTTTCAATAGAATAGAATAGAGCCACAGCTACGGTTATTATTTGTTTCTAGGGGTGTAATAATACACATATTCATATTAAACCGTTCGGTACAAGGATTACGAACCGAACAATACGTTTGAATAATACTAGTGCCTTTGGAAAATGCAGAAACGTAAATTGTGGGAAATATAATGTTTTCGGTGGACTGTGCTCACGTAGGAGATGATGGGCTTTGTGACCTTTGAACCCGGAACAAAAAAAAATCAAAACAAAAAACAGCTGAGACTACGCTAAACTAGCTTAACGGGAAAACAACCGTGGCAAACCTCGCGATGACGGGATGCTTCGTCATTAATGGACAAGTCAGAATCAATGTAATAAACACAATAACAAGAACAAACTCACATGAACCAGTCACATATATTTATACGACAACAAAACACAAAATTAAGTAAGTAAAAAGTAAGTAAAATGTATTTGTAGAGCGCTTCTCACAGACAAAAGTCACAAAGTGCTTTAACAGAGCAGAAATTACAAGCATAAAAAAACACAATGTGACCATAGGGCCAAAAATTGACATACACACAGAAAAAATAAAAAATTAAAACATAGTTTAAAAGCAGGTCTAGGACACGGGTTTTACCCAAACGCCAGTTTAAAAAGGTGCGTTTTGAGCTTGTTTCTAAAAGTGTTCACACAATCTGTGAGGCGTAGAGGTGCAGGCAGAGCATTCCACAGCCTCGGAGCTACTGCCTCAAATGCTTGGTCACCACGGGTCTTAAATCGTGTGTGTGGGACAGACAGAAGACCTAAAACGTTTGACCTGAGAGTCCGGGCGGGTGAATATGGGTGAAGTAGTACAGTGACATATGTAGGAGTCTGACCGTGTAGTGCTCTGTAAGTGTAAGAATTTTTAAGTGTATCCCAGGGAGCACTTCACTTACCACAGCTGCCGTTCACTTAATAAATCCTGTTATGCCCGATGCCCCCAAATTTGGGGGCTCTCGGTACCAGAGGGGGTAGCATATACCGTCGAAAAAATGCACTTATCGAGAGCGAATATAATACATGTATACATGTTATATACCAGATTAAAAACAAAGTCTGGGCAACAATATCATGTAAGCCATTTTTACACACTCCAAACACAATCCTACACAACTAATATATTCGAACAGAAGATTTACCACAATATCACGTATTTTTCGCCATGAGTCCGCGAGCTACGCACTACGGACAAAGCTACCAGCACAAAGCTAAAAGCTAACACGGACAACGAATACATCAGAAAGCAAGAGAATTCGACACAGATTCCAGAGATATCTTCAAAATGTCTCTCCGTGAAACCATTAAAGAGCTGTGAGCAAACAAGCACCAGAACCACAAAGTGCTTTATCAATAATAATCATAAATGCTTCTCACCGTGAGCTGATTTTCGTGAAGAGAACAGATAAATTCCCGGTTATTTCCATTCAAATATGTGTTCAACGTATATCCTTGAAGAAAGGGGGGTCAATCTAACTTAAACTAGGGGAAGGGATTTGACTTTCGGCGTATCGGATTTTACGCTTCGCGGGGGACGGAGTGGTTTTGATTCTGACTGGCTAACAATTCTGTCAATCAATCCCACGTTGTCCCAGTTCAATTCTACAGGCTCTGACGTTGACTGAAATCGACCAATGGGCTGCTGACTTAGGTCCCCATAGACACAGGGAAACTGGAATTCAGAAGAGACAGCTCCATGGATCAGAGACACAAACAGGCTCAGAGAGGATTATGGCTCTCAAAATGAAGCCAAACTGCTGTATTTGGATAGATTGAACACTATTAGCGATAAAACAAGTGAAATATATAGTACTAAAACCTCTCTAATTTTGTTCTGCTTCACTTTATCAAAGCCAAACTTTCCACGGAGACTGTTCACATATTTGGGAGATGTTTTAGGCTTGCAGCTGCATCATTCCAAAGAAATAATAACAATAAAAGTGATTTTTTTTCAGGCGAACCTGAAACTTTTCAATTTGAGCTGTGTGTCATCTTCATTTACTCTTAAACCGTAACATATACACTGATATCTACACATCTGAACAAATCTCACAAGTGTTACCTTTATTATAACATCAAAATGATTCAAATAGATCTTGCAGTTCCAGAAATATATTCTTTTTAGTATGGGTATGCAATTTTAGAGCAGAGGCCTAAAAATAGGGCTAGGGCCCAAGAGGTTGACAAAGTCCATCCTCCTTTCTTTGTTAACAAAGAGTTTAATACCGTGGTTGTTCAGAACAACGGTTCAGTTCAGTTCTAGTCGGAGGTCCTCCTGCGAATGTGTTCGTTGAGTTGTAAATCCACTCGGTTCTCAGCAAAAGTTTCATTCTTAGCCATAAAATGTGCAATGCTTCTCCGCCGCTGTCAGCCAGAAATACCGTTTGTACAAACCCCTTTCCAACCCTTTGACCGACCCTTTGATACGATTTCCAGTTTTTCTGGTCTTGAGAAATCTGTTTCTCCTACTCCTTCAGCCATTGAGTGTTAAAAAGCACAGCTAGGTAAAAAACAAAAAGAATCTACACCAAGCAAAACGCTAAAAATGTCATAACTTCTCTTACATATGTTTCAACCAGAACTCTTAATAAATACTAAGATCTGCTAGCTAGCTTTCTGTTTGACAAAAGTCTCACTGGCCCACTGACCAATCACGGCGCACGTTAATGCAGACGTACTTAGCAGGCTACCTGGGTAGCAGTGGCATGTCAAAGAATATGCCCAACATGTCAAACTAAAGATCTGATTGGTTGAAGACTATGACAATCAACAATATCATCCCCATTTACTTTAATCTGCAAAGTCTACCTAGAGGGCATCGGGCCTCTCTCCTTACATAGAGAAATAGGGGCTGAATCTGATTGGATAAAAGCTCTCCTTAAAACAAGCTGTGCTGGAAGCAGTGCTGCAGAGGCTGCAAGTAGAGCAACAGAGGAAGACAGGAGCTGTGCAATGAGAAAATAAACTAATGGGGAAAAAATTATAATACATGTAGTGTATTTGTGAAAAATTATTAAATTATAAAATAGCTATAACTTTGTGATTCTGTTCAGGCCAGCAGAGAAGGCTTAGCTGGCCCTGACAGCCCACCACTGCCAGAAACACAGCTAACCTAAAACATCAAGTGCCAGATAAAGCTTGTGCTTTTGATTTTTACTCGATTCCATGTGAAGAGAGAACAGATGCTACAGCCACCGCACAGCTTTTTTTTCCTCGGACCCGGAGGAACGACCCTCATTGTTCGCACAGGTGCTGAGTGGTCCCGTCAGGCGTCTTAGATCTGGAAGGTTGTTCTGGGTGCTGTTGATGAAACCTGGCAATGAGTCGGGGGTCGCAGATTTTACGAGCCGGAACCCATTGCCTCTCCTCCGGACCGTATCCCTCCCAGTCGACCAGATACTGAAGACCTCGCCCCCAGCGGCGGGAGCGCAGCAGGCGATGAACCGTGTAGACCGGACCTCCTTCGATGAGGCAAGGAGGCGGAGGAGGCAGAGCAGCCGGTACCAAGGGACTCTCCCGGACAGGTTTGACCTTGGATACATAGAATGTGGGGTGGATGTGCATGGATTTGGGGAGCTTGAGCCTCACTGCCGCCGGGTTGATGATCCTCTCGATCTTGAAAGGCCCGATGAATCTTGGGCCCAGTTTCTTGGACTCTACCCGCAAGGGTAGATCACGGGTCGACAACCACACCCTCTGACCCACCTGGTAGATGGGGGCTGGAGTGCGGTGTCGGTTAGGGCTGCTCGGGCCCTTGCCCAGGTCTGGCGGCAGCAGCGGATGAAGGTCTGGACTGAAGGGCAGGAAACCTCCTTCTCCAACGTGGGAAACAGAGGTGGCTGGAACCCATATGTACACTGGAAGGGTGACAAGCCTGTGGCGGAGCTGGTCAGAGTGTTATGAGCGTACTCCACCCAGATCAGCTGGCGGGACCAGGAGGCAGGAGACCAAGCAGCGGAGGGCCGTTTCCATCTCCTGGTTCTTCCTCTCCGTCTGACCGTTGGATTGGGGGTGAAACCCAGAGGACAGACTGACGGTGGCCCCCAGCAGAGCGCAGAATTCCCTCCAGAAGATGGAGGTGAACTGAGGACCTCGGTCAGAGACTACGTCGACTGGAATCCCATGCAGACGGAAGACATGCAGGGAGATGAGTTCTGCCGTGTCTTTAGCAGACGGGAGCTTGAGCAGAGGAATAAAATGGGCCAGCTTACTAAATCTGTCGACCACTGTCAGGATGGCAGTGTGGCCCTCAGATGGGGGTAGCCTAGTGACAAAGTCCAGGGAGATGTGGGACCACGGACGATGAGGCACTGGGAGAGTCTGCAGGAGGCCGGCCGGAGCCTGGTGAGAAGGCTTGTGTTGATTGCAAACTGGGCAGGCGTTGATGAATTCCCTGGTGTCCTCCTTGAGCGAGACCCACCAGAAGCGCTGCCGCAGAACGTCCTGGGTCCTCTGGATGCCCGGGTGGCAGGTAAGTCTTGAGGAGTGGGCCCACTGGAGGACGTCAGACCGAAGACCCTGAGGGACGAACAGGCGATAAGGGGGACACACGCTGGGACCAGCTTGACCCCGAGTCGCGGCCTTCACTGATTCCTCAATCTCCCAGGTGAGGACAGCGACATGGCAGGAGGCAGGAAGGATGGAAGAGGAGCCAGAGGTAGGTTCCTCCTCCCCCTGGAACTGATGGGTAAGGGCGTCAGGCTGACATTGCGGGACCCGGGGCAATACGAGAGCGTG